TCGATCGGCCTACAGGCAGCGAACGCAACTCGCAGTCACATCAATCGATAATACAAAATTTAAGATGAATGTCAGCCGCCGAGCCCCAGCCAATCACGCCGGTAACCAAAAGCTGATTGGCTCGATGTACCCTGCTTACACCCGTTCGTTGCCCTAAATGTGTTGCACCTGTTACACTCAATGACTCGCGCTAACATGCTGTAACGTGCTCGTTTGAGTAAACTCTCTCCCTCGCTGGCCGACTGGTCTGCTCTCTATCTCGCTCTTACGTGCTCTTTGGTTCGCCGTTCGTATTAATTAGAAGTACCAGGTGCAGGTCGTAACAAGGCTGAAGACCCATGAACGACTTTGTGGCGGACAGCCAACAATGCTGTCCCCCCTCGCCTTTTTAAACACCCACTGTCTCCCACAGACAGCTGTTTGCAGCCTGCTGACCCAAGAACCCTTGACCGATTTCCCCACACAGAGGCGCATGCGTGCAAAACCAGTCGCGGATGCCTAAGGACCACTTGAACAAACCAACCCCCATCAGCCGACGCAGCAAGGACCTCTGTACACGACTGCCCTTTCGGGCAACGTTTTCCACCAATCGGACACCAAACTAACTGGTCCCAAGTCACATTAAAGCAGCGGTCGCCCCCTCTCCCACACACACGTTCTCCCAGGCCTGGCATCGCCCAGCACACCCGTGCCGTTATCGTCTACAGTCAGACGACAGTTGGCTGACTCTTTAGTTATTCACTACATGCATCCACTTTTAAGGTTTTAATCTTGTTTATTCTTTCTTATTTGCTTGACAGTACCGTACTACACCAATTGTTGCTATCATTGCGAATCAAGGTACGCGTTACGACTGAATACTGAGTTAAGGGATACAAGATAACTTGAAGAGTGGTAATTCCCGGAGCTATACAAATGTCAAGAGGGTGGGAATTCGAATGATTATTTGTGCTCTACTCGAGGTTTTCAAGCAGTCACGCCCCAAAACGAAATAGATTATTCAAAACATTGACTAGCTGGTCTCTTGTTCTAATCGTAGGCCCTCCAAACCCTGAGTACTGGATGCGGAGTCAAATGATACAAGACACTCGAAACACCCACATTGGTCTATACCAGCAGAACAAAGCTTATGTTAGACTTGTCCCTTGCAGATAAGGGGGAGGGGGAGTGTAAAACGGAAGAATAAAGGAGACGGCCCTAACCTGGACAGTGATAATAAGGCACCATTGCCGTCTTTCAAGCAATGACTTCACAACTTTGCGATTGCCCTACCATGCTAAATTTCCCTTAATGAAGGTATACTGGCTTCAGAATCGTGAAGTGACCCTTCAGTCTTGCTTAAGCCATCGGGTCATTGGCTGATTCCCATGCAGGTAGTGCACGGTTTGCGTGTTCCGAGACGGTAATAACCACACCGTGTCTACCTGAGGAGTCGCGCGGGTCCTTATGGTACAGGGTAAAGTGGGGATTGAGTCCCGGGGCTTTATTTCCCGGACGCCTGAGTCGAGGCGTGGGACTGACGAAGACTGCGCGCCGTCAGACTTTGCATACAGAGGTCCAGGAAAGTTCGCATATTCCAGCATCCAATACCAAGAATCCGATTCGGGTTGAGTAGTCCAGCTCGCATACTGTTCGCCCGCACCACTGGACCAGGGTTGCGGAACGCGTCGGTTCCCACGGAGGCCGTAACACGGATCGTACCATTA